GGTGACGGGGTACCTATATGTGCAGCATCAGTGAGGTGAGCTTTGTCACCAGCTCGCTCGTGCCAGCAGGTGACGGGGTACCTATATGTGCAGCATCAGTGAGGTGAGCTTTGTCACCAGCTCGCTCGTGCCAGCAGGTGACGGCGTACCTGTATGTGCAGCATCAGTGAGGTGAGCTTTGTCACCAGCTCGCTCGTGCCAGCAGGTGAGGGCGTACCTGTATGTGCAGCATCAGTGAGGTGAGCTTTGTCACCAGCTCGCTCGTGCCAGCAGGTGAGGGCATACCTGTATGTGCAGCATCAGTGAGGTGAGCTTTGTCACCAGCTCGCTCGTGCTGGCGGCCTTCACGTGGTACTGCGAGTTGATCCGGCGCACAATGTCCGTAGAACTCTCGTTGAGCCGCTTCTTCACTTCGATCGGCTGCTCAATGGCCGCCTCCAACCCGTGCTCTGGAGCAATCTACGCAGACGACGTGCACGTTAACAACGGCAACGGCGACAGGAGAACCCACGCGCGCAATTCGGATTCAAAATCGGACTTTCGAATTTAATTTCTATTGAAAACCTGGGGTGCGTTGTCAGAAACAAACGTTGTCTTATCATTCGTCTTAACATTAACTTTTCTAAACAAGACCGGAGCTCTGAACACTGCGCATGAGAAACTGATAACTTTACAATGTTTCTGTAAATTCTATGAGAGAAAGTTAATGTTGAGATTAACGTTAAGACTAATTTTGTTTCTGACAATGGGCACCTGATTGGTCGACGGGCGAACGTAATTTTTGCACAGGTGGAATGAAACGTCGAGAGGGTATCACATAATAATAAACGATCGCACGGATTGCGTGCATTGTAACAGATCGCATTGTCGCCAAGCCTAGTTCGTTTGGAAGTCCATTGTCAAAAACATGCTAAGTACTTATGACATCACAAACTTAGCAAGACATAACTTTTGTGGTGCTCTGCGAAGGTTACGACAACCTAGAATCACGACCGTCACCGTCACAGTCGTGTCTCGGACCCCCAAGACGGTGGCGTCGGGGCGAGAATTACCTGCTGACAGAAGGTTAACACTCCGGTCATGTGCTCGTTCAGGTCACGGTTGAGTTTATCCAGCTTGAGGACGAGACTTGCATAGCGGCGTTGGAAATCACGAGTCATCGGCTCCTGGTAGGAGTCCTGCGTGCAAACAGACGTGTCACAGAATCAGCGTGGCTTCCACAGATGTCGTGCTGTCAGCAGGGCAGCTAGTTCAGCAACTACACTGATGCTACGGAACCATCCTCGTAGACAAACAACTTAACTACTGTTGAAAAATAACTCTGTGCTCATTGACTAACAACTGCTTTCGTTGACAAAGAACTTTGTATTCGTTGACACACAACTGCTCTCATTGGTAAACAACTTTGTGGCTCCTTGACAAACAACTGTATCAAACAGATGTTGACTGTTGAACTGTTGAACTGTTGAACTGTTGAAAAACAGATTTGGCCTTGTTGAAAAATAACATTACTCCTATTGACAAACGAAATCTGTTTCGCTCACCATTCTCTCGGCTTCCGCATTCATGTCCTTCAGCTGAGAAATGCACTCTTTCTTCACCATAAGGATTTTCGATAATCTCGTCTGAAATCGCAGGGAGAGAAAAAGTCTGTTAGATAATGCAGCCGATTATTCTCACCTAGTCGGGGGTTACGCTACTACGCACCTTTATTTATGTTACCGTGATTTCGCCCCACTTCAACAACTAATTACGAGCCCAGCACATTACATCCTGGTAGGTTTATGTCCCTGCTGGGATGAACATGACTAAGAGAAAAGCATTGACAGAAGCATTGAGAGAAGCATTCGAGTTATAGAGCGGAAGGGAAATTCTCTGCGGCAGACCGAGCGGCGGCGGCGGCGGCTGGACAGACATGAAACCATAGTATCCCCGCCGACTTTGTTACGGGGGATACAATAACACCAACATCTTCAGTTGTTGTATAGATATATATATATAGATTTATTTATATAAGATCAAACTGTACAAACCTGGCTTCAAGCAAGTATATGGAACCAGCACTAATGGGATTTCCAGAAATCATGTACCAGAGAGCAGCAACATTCCAGTAGTTTTTTGTTGCCTAAGCCTTAAGTTCCCATGTTGGGCCATCGCCAACATTGCACCAGTCACCATGCCTGCTATTTTGCTTTCCTCTCGGTATATTTCATGATGCGCTGTCACACAGAACCGCATCACATTCATAAAAATCTGCAAAACACTAGTGCAACACTATCATAACTACAAGCAGAATGTATCCTTTGAAGCGCAACATATTGGTAGTGAATTTTAAGAATAGTGACTATGGCAACACACGTTAATGTTTTCTTTAGTTATCATCTGTACGAGTGCGACCCAATAATAGTACCAGTAGAGGAGGCATTGATGTATGTACCTGTGTGGAGTTGTTATTTAAGCATGAAGCATATATACAAGTATGGTTTCTAGTATAAGCACACGAGTGGAAGCCATGGCCATATAAAACATACGTCGCGTAAGAAATCGGCAACCCACAATGAGAATCGCGTCATAACTGGTTGTTGTAATGGGTCTACTGATTGCACGCTATCTCTCACACATTTACATTACTTCTGACCGGTTCCCACCATCCACTCATCCTAGTCGTTCTGAATGCAAATTATTGCGACTATTGCTACTTTATGATTTACAACTATTAAAGACCTCGAATAACGGCAACACACTAAACCTAGCCAATAGCTTTACATGCGAAGGTACGAGTGATGTATGAAAATATTATGGTGTGCTGCTGTTACACTCGTAGTCAACTTGAATGGTCGCTTAATGGAGAAGCTACACAAGCCCTCCACATTGGTTTTATCGCCAGTATGCATACAGCAGCTAGCACATGCCGTGCTGCGCTTCCTATACATATATACACAATATATTACAATAATTTGTGAGTAGACGTTCTCCTACCACACCCCACGATTCAACCATGATGACACGATGAAAAATCCTCCCTGATATGGATCGACATCAAATATATTTCCTTGCGACAGAGCTAATACTACAGCTATATCAGCAGTAAATGCTATCAGGTGTTAGTACACACACAATAACAGAGATAGTTTCACTACTACGTAGTCAATATGGCAACAATTATAAATCGTCGAAAAACTTGTTGCTAATTATTGGATTTTCTTGGTGTGATAACACGGGAAGAGATGCCTACGTGAAGATAAAGAAGAGAGTTGAGGATAGCAGAGATAATAGGTAATAGTGAACTTGCGCAGATGTAATACGGAAGTGTTGACCATGCCAGGACAATGGTGTAAAGTTTACCATGGAAAAGTAATAGTGAAGAGTGCTGACATTCAAAGGTAATGGGGAGGAGTCGACCGTGGAAAGATAAGAGTAAAGAGTTAACCATGCAAAGACGATAAAGGGAGACCTAGCTGCTGACACACCATATATAGGAATGTAATCTATAAAAAGAAATTCTTCAGCATTAACCTCGTCAATTTCCACGCATGATCATCTTCGTACACGTATGCGTACGTCGTAATATAATTTACAGACGATTACTTCATCACGATACCATTACGCTGTGCTAGAAGTGGACTTTCATTGCAGAAGAACACGCAGCAAAGAAGAAGAGGAGCCTCTGATACGAGGGCTCCTAGCGCGAGGAGTCATTTCCGATGCAGCAGGTTGGAGCCCCATGCTGAGCAAGGACTTGCTCCTGCTATGAGAGAGGTCCCTGAGCAGAGAACGCGTGCAGGTTCCCCATCTGACTGAGACCGGCCTCGATGTGATTCAAGTGGATCTCGACGTGGTTCTGAAACACTCTGCAAAAACGAAAACGAACCGATTCACCTCGCTGCGTTTCGCCGCGGCTATGGCCCCGAAAACGAATAAACCCGAACGCGAATCTCGCGCGGGTGACAAGACGGTTCGTCGTCGGGTGACTGACACCAAGCTGGGTTCAGTTAGAGCTATGCGTAGTTAGTCTGTGCAAAATTGGCGTGAGCAATTCCAGAACTGATTCGTAAAACCTGGAGGCAGGACGGCAAGTGCTGCAGAAGTGGGACAACACCACAGAAAATATCATCAAAAGGAATAAAAATATTTGTTTTTAGGCACGGGGAGTGTCCTCATCGGTTTAATAAAAGTAATGTCAGGGCACCACAGCAAGTTATAGGCGTTCCAAGGAAAATCATTTCTTCAAGAAAGGGTTATCAAGGCCACTTACTCAATTAACAACACTTTATATGTGAAAGAAAAATGGGTACGTATGCTACACGTGATTTATGGGAACAGCACAGAAGAACACACGTGAAAAGCACATACGAACTGGTCTAGCTTGACACCCAGCAACAACAACCCTAGGGGACGGGGTCATCTCATCCGGACAGATACATCATCAGAAGCAGCATTATAACAAGCGAGGCGGCACATGCGGTCGGTGCCGCGGCAGGACTCAAACCCGGGCACGTGGCGTACCTCTGGTTGGGAGGCTCCAGCACGTGCTTCACTTCATTCACCGTGTCATTCATCGACGTAAACTCGGCCGAATTCAGGTCGTTCTCGGCGAGAGACTGGAAGAACAGAGAAAACATTGGATTGAACAGCGGTGAGCAGGACGAACGCTTGCGGCAGTGATTTCGTTTTACGATACATGCCTGTAATTAACCTGTTAGCAACAGCTTCGACAACTGTTTGAGCATACCTGTATGTGCAGCATCAGGGAGGTGAGCGTACCTGTACGTTCTGGTTGTGTGCATGTATGTGCTTGTTTAGCCCTGTTTACTGTTTGTTTTGCACTGTTTACTACTGTGTGTATAATACATGTATGTTAATAAAGGATAACTTGTATAGTAGCGATGATATCTCTGATTCTCATAACTTTTCCAAGTTTTCTTGTTCAAGTTTTACATTTATTTCAATTTTTTTTTCTTTTCTTTGATGAAATCGATTATGGATTTTGATAACCAAGCGCTTGGTTCGAGCCACTGTTCAACCGATGATCGAGTATAATCGATAATCGTGACATCACTAGTGACAACCATGCTCCGCAACTACAGTACTTATAACTACCAGCTTCAACCCTTCCGGAGACTTCATCGGGGAGAAGAAGGGAGGCAGACGCGGCCGCTTCTTCACGAAGGCTGATATTGGGATCCTCTCCAGATTGTTATTGCTCTGAAAGATGCAGCGGTCAGCGCAGGTGAGCAAACACAAACATCGGTCAACACTAGCTCGACGATCAATAGCCTGCGCTCCGCAATTAACGACAATGGTTGCGCACCTTTATAACAGGAGCTCACTACTATTGCCAATTAACTCACTGACAATCATTTACCAGTGTTTACATTCCAACAATCATTTATCAGCAAACAACCTACGTAAAAGCTCCTGACAAAGAACTACTGTGACTCTAGTAACATTGACACCGATTTGCCGGGACCACCTCTACCCAATGAATAGATTCGCGTAAAAAGATCCCCCCCACACTCATCAACAAAGACATCGTCACCCTCCCCCACCTCCGACCTCTGCCAAATGTTTGAATGTCGACAGTGCAGTGAGAGAATGCGAGTAGTAAGGGCGACTCACTGCAACTTCGTAGTCGGGTATGTCGTGTGTGCCGAGCTGCATGCGGTCAAACGCGACGCGGTAGGTGTGGTTCTGCGTGTCGACAGCGGCAATGACGCCCGTGAACAAACCATCCTGGGGCCGTCGTAACCGCGCTAAACAAATAACAACAACAACAGGGTGTAAATGACAGGTCGTGGCAAAACAACAACTTTGTGACTAAACTGGCGTGTGTATCACCTGCTGAATTCGATCGAACATTCACGTCGTTGTTGGTGTTGCGTTGCGACCGTGAGCACCAGAATAAGTAGAACAACGTTCAAACTTCACCGAACATGTGAGACAGAAATGGATTGTGTTGATAAACAATGGTAAACAGTTGTCGCATTGTGATTTTGTGACGTGGTTGTACATATTTGCCTGATTCAATGGTTAGACAATCGAATCTACGAGTATTAGTACAACATTGAGCCAAAACCTTGTGTGTATATCAGCTATAGAAGGCTGTGGGAGACCGAAACCATGACGGACTGTGCTGAATCTATTTATTTACTTATTTGTATATTTGTTTATTTATTTGTTTATTCAGTCTTTTTTTAACTGGGGACTCTGTGTCAGTGCACAGCAGTCTTCTCCCCTATATACCTGCTACCTGCCCGCATGTTCCAAGCGCAGCAGTCATGCAGCAGGCTGCTGTTCTTGTCTCACTTCTCACCTGTCACTTTGTTTCCGATGACGAGCGGCATGGGGATCTCCGGCGGCAGGTCCTTGAGGTGCCTCATGTCCATCTGCGTCTGCTGCTGCAGCAGCCGCATCTTCTGCCGCTTCTTGTGCAGCGCCTCGCGCTCCTCCTCAAAGAACGCAGGCGAGCACCTGCAGAGAACAGCCACCCCCCGCTGTCAGACACGACACGGTCGCCGCGACTAAATAACGTGACGGCGACGTCGTCCACGCGCCGCGTTTTTGGGACTTCGCTCTCGATTGTCATTGGCCCGAAACCGGACAGAAGTTCAGGAAATCGGCACTCAATATTTGGAATCTGTGGATGGACTAGAGGAGACAAAGGTTTTTTGGGGAGGGGATTGCCTAAAATTTTTTACAGCATTACTGGATACAGTCAGTGTCAGGAAATGCTTCTAGCACCTGTGTGTACACTGTACAGTAAGGGACATATTATAGCCTACATAAAATTTTACATGTACTAATTAGGCAATAAGATTACAGCTAATCAACAGTATGTACAGTATAAAGCAAGGAAATTTGGTGGTTGATCGATCACACTTGATCATGGCGACTTGATAAACCCGATAGATAAGATATTCCCCACTGCACCTACCTTCTAGGTTTTCCCATTAACCGCCTGATCTTGCACCATTCCACCTTTGTGAGTGTCTTGCCTTTGAGTCGTGGGAACGACTCCCGCACACACATGCAGAACTCATTCTCACCATTGAACAGCACTCTGTAAGAACGTGCGTAATGAACCACCATGAGAACCCACACTGAATCAACCAGAATCAGCAAAGCATAATGCCATCATTCAAAGATTACCTGCCTGCCATCGAGACAATAACAGGTTATGGATTGTATAAGCTATCACACAAAAAAAAGATCTAATATCAAGTCACAGCAGAGGACTGAACATAAAATACTCCTAGATACGATAAGATACTACCTAGCCACCCTCTAGGTAGTTTTTGGTAAGGCACTAAGATAGATAAAGTTTACAAAATAGTCAAAAAAGTGTCTAGAACAGGCGACTCCTCAAATTACCATACTCGGCAACTTTAACAATAACAACCCCACATTAATTTGACATGGAGAGTTTGCACTACTTACGCGTCCAAACTGGAGTAGAACAGCTCGTGGTAAACCCATTTGTGAGCTTTTGGTAGCTTCAGTAGATTTTTTATCTGCATCCCCAGCTGCATGGCGTTTCTCTTGTCGGGTGAGCTGAGACCAATCGGCTTCTAGAATAGTGAACAACACCAACACTCAATATAATGTGCCAGACACATAACCTGGAAAGCAGGTACACACCCAATAGCACATATGCATGCCAGGATGCACACACGTGCACAGAATGTACTTTTGCAGACACGATACTGTCGTAACAATGTTATACAATTACAACTCGAATAAACAACTGGTATCAACTATCATTTTTTAAAGTTATATATGATAATCCTTGCAATGCAATTGACACGATTTAGATGTGCCAGGTGGGTTGTGTTAAATAAGACTATATCTTGCAGGTGACATTAGCTTGAAGTCTGTAATGCTCACCGGGAGCTGCTTATGCTGCGGAACCTTCCGTGGGGTGATGTGGCGGCAATAGGCGAAGGCTGTATCCTCGTCATCGTTGAAATAGAATCGGTTCTTCTTTCGAACCCGAGACAGCTGAAACATTTGCATTGTAGGCAGGCGGCAGTGAGAGAAGGAAAGGGGATCTAGAGAAAGGTAATACAAGGGCAGTTTCTACTCATTATAGACATTCAACTGGAAGGTCATTTCCTGATAAAGAATGCGGGGTAAGACGCTGCTCCTCATAACCATATGGTACGACTAAAACAAGTACCAGCAGATTAATAAGATGTTGATAATAAGATATTCATTTCCTACAGACATATATGTGACCCGCTCCAGCAAAACCAGGATTAAGTAGGAAATTCTACAAATTGAGTTATGTGCATATCTGAATACGAATAGATCATTTAATTACCTTTAAAATGATATATAATATTTGGCTATATCTAAAGAATTGACCGATCTACAGCAATTTGAAGATCGGAAACCGACTTATTCAGGAATATGCAACTTTTAAGATAAAGCATTTTTTTTTTTTTTTTTAAATGACCATAATAATCTAGAGATATCTGAACCTATATATCCGGATTAAATATGCACTTAAGCCCGCCGCACACGGTGAACTATCTGCTGAGCCAAAGGACTCAAGAGGCCGTTGGCTCA